AGCTTGAGTGTTGATACTTACAATGGTCCAAACAAGAGAAGAGTTGATGACAATGATTCTTCCTTGCAACTTCCTTCACAATGATGCTTCTTCTCTTTATTTTCTCTCCTTCAAACAAGCAAAACACCAAGGATCTCAAAGAGGGTCGAATTTAGGGTTTCCATAAGGCTTACAGGGTGATAGAGGTTGAGGATGGGCAACCCTAGCCTCTCATTCCCTTAAATACTCGAACCTTAGGGTTTTGGGTCATTAAGCCGAGCTCACGTCATGAGACCTCATGCCTCACGTCGTGAGACTCCAAAAACGCGGGTCAACCGGTCAACGACCACTCACGACATGACCACCATTACTTACGTCGGGAGCCTCCTCCAAAAAGGCCAAAAGTCAATAAATTGAGTACCTCAGGGTTCTAGATGTTACACAAAGTATTCCGAATATCATAGTGAAATCAAAAGTCAATGCATAATAAAAACAAAGGATGATGTGAGATCACACCGGGCCCTTCCCTTTCAAATGGAAGTACCTGAAACATAAGCATGAAACCGTAAGCAGAAAGCTTTGTGAATTCCCCAAAATACCACATGTCATACACAATCAGTGGGTCCAGCCGTAGGGTATATTCCAACCCAACATACAATCATGGGCCCATCCCTGGGGTGTATTTCAACCCAACATGCAATAATAGGCCCAGCCGTGGGGTATATCTCAACCCAAACATACAGTAATGGGCTCAACCCTAAGGTGTATTTCATCCCAATCATACATGTAAGAGTCACAAATACAACTAGCGTTCTACATAACACAATCCAGTGGGTTGACATTGGTGCCTTCGACCCACAAGTACAATGAGAAGACTCACCTCAATCTGATAAATGAATCACACACCCGGGCTACCTAGACTAGAACTCCCTACACTAAACAACACATCATAAACCTTAATTAGAATTAGGTAACAACCCCAAACAAAAGTCTTGGTTTTTTATTAACCTACTTGGGTAAAAGACCATATTACCCTTCCATGGGTAGACCCACCCCTCTTGACCTAAAATCCATCTTGACCAAAAGTTGGTCTTCTTGACCTACCCCATGAGTACTCTTTCTTTACACACCGCGTAGAGCCTTCCAATGAAAAAACGAGGTAAAACTAGGCTACGCGCTGCATAACCTAGATTACACCTTGCATAAGCATGTTGCTTGCCAACTATCATATTAATACTTTAATACCTTAAGACCGAACGTCCAACTCTAATATCTGAACCTAAAGGACGTCTTAAATGATCAAATCACAAACTTTATGCATTTGCATGGCTTAAAAGGGAACAAAACCAAACCCTAGGTCCAAAAAACACTCAAGAGCTCAATAGTTCATGCATTGATGGATGAGAATGCTCAAGCTCCCATTTTTATGACTTCTCAAACTCAAAACTAGCAGAACATGGTGCTCATAGGGACTGGGGTAGTTCTTACTCCATAAAGCCAAGATCTTGGGACCAAAAGTATAACAAATCATGAGCTAACTTAGATCTATCAAAAAGGAAACATAAAGGTTCAAGCTTTATACCTTCAGTGGTTTAATGATGTATGGGAGACTTTGGATCTATAAGCTTGAGCTTTACCAAGCTTCAAAGATGGGCTCCTCCTTCTTCAAAATGGACCACAAACACATAAGAGGCTCAAATTTTAGCTCAAGAGAATTAGGGTTTCGACATGACGGGTTGGGAGACTGGAAGCTAATGATAAGAAGTGCCACAAGGGGTTAGAGTCCTTAAATAGGGCTCAAAATCCAGAAATTAGGGTTTCCTCCGTACTTGTCTACGCAGGGTGTACCTTGCCTTACGCCTCGCGTGGGGTACTAAGCTCCCGCTTTGACTTTGTTTACCTACCCATTTTCCAAAAATAAAATGAAATTAAAATTTTAAGAGATGTACCTGCAGAACGGGTGTTACAAAGATGGTGTAGATTATCATTTGGTCCTGCCTATACCATAGCAGGTAATTGGGATTTGGCTTATCGCCTTCTAGGCTTTTCGGTGGCTGTTTGGCACTATTGATGAACGATTCAAGATCATGGCCGATTAAGGTGGATTCTACCTGCTTACGCCATATAGGAAAATTGTCAGGAGTGAGTCTGATTGTAAAAAGAGTAGTAGCAGAGAGTTGAACCAAGTTGGCCATTGACTACTGATTTGAGTTATGGAGGTGGAGGATTGACTAGTTTGAGATAAATATGCTCTGATACCATATAATTGTATAAAAGTAAAGTGAGGTTTATATTCTAAGAATCGTATGTTTCATTTACAATGGATACAGGGCATTCTTTTTTTTTTTTTTTGAAACGGCAAATCTAACCTATTCCTAAACTACACCTTAAATCCACCTATGTCCACGACGGCACTTGAACCCTCAACCTCAAGGAGGGAGGAAAACACCGGATACCGCTGGGCTAGAAACCCTTTATGAAATTAGAATTCCTAGGAGAGACATAAGGAATTGCAATTAATGAGTTACAGCCCTTTTGACTTTACAAAATTGTTCTAGAATAATGTATTCTAAAAAGTTGATTTTGGATTGGTCTTGATAAAAATATTGATTAAATATTTACCCGTTAAAAGTTTATTTATTTTTTTATAAATCTCATGCATGATGTTTTAAAAACAACCAATTATATGCTTTTAGATAATGTAAATTGGTGTCTGCATTCTTTTTCCCTTTTGGACATTCTGATTGGTTGATTATTGTGGTTGCGATTGGTTGCTTTCATGTAAAGTTTTTTTTTTCGTGTTTTTGAAGCCTTGTAAATTGTAATTGTTGTAATTAGATTAGTTTTTATTTTATTTTTCAAATTATATGTAATTGTTTAACGTAAATACAAAGCAAATTGGAAGACAAAAGAGGGAAGACCACAACCCTAAAGGCTATCTTTTTAGGAGATAAGCAGTCCAACAATGCAAAATAGTTCTATGGATAATTTGCCTTTTTAGTCTATCTGGAATTAGCCCAACACCTGGTTGGCCTCAACCCAACCCAACGTCTGGCTGGCGTCGACTCACATGTGGTGGTGGAGATTGATAGACTTCTGATATTTTTGTAGGTGTCCCGTGTTTCTGCAAAAATGTCATATTTTATTGTGAAAATAACATTTTTGTAAGAAAACCTATGAAAATGTTAATTTTTTTTTATTGAGATAGTAATTTTGTAGGTGTTTTTATAAAAATAATATTTCTCATTGAGAAATAACATTTTCGTAGTGTTTTTACGAAAATGTTAGATTTTACTGAAAACTTGCTTCATTTACTGAGAAAACTTTAGATTCCACTGAAAAATTGTTTAATTTTATGAGAAAATTATGATTTCAGATTTTATTAAGAAATTGTTTATTTACGGAATAAATGTTCCTACGGAAATGTTCAAATTTCAAAACACGCCGTCTCAAATATTACGCGTATTTCTGGCGTGAGACGTAGAACAACATGAACATTACATGCGGCTTCTTTGGGTTCATTACTCCCTTAAATCCTTATTAAAATGTTGCGACAAAATTATTAAAATAAAAATTAAAGAACACATTTGAAAATATACCATTTTGGCAAATATAAGAGGATGTTTTCATAGCCCTTCCTCCTCTTCCATCTTGTTTAGAGCGTTTTTGTTCGATTTCGAAAATAGACTATCAAAAATAAGAACTTTTTTTTTTTTTTTGTGGTTTAAATAAGTGAACCAATCCAACCCCTTTTGCAGCCGTATGACCCATTTCGTAGGGATGGCCCATTCCGCAAAGAAGGGTTCAGAACTTATGGGTGTTTGCGTATTTTCCTTACTTTTTGGCTCATTCTTAGAAAAGGTTTATAAATTTGTCTTTTCCTCATAAAAATTATATTTAGTAGGCCGAGCGAAGATATATTTTAGAATTAGTCATTGAAATTTCAAATATTCATCTATTGTTTTTTGGGTACATGTTTACATTGCAGTCCACAGGAGTAAATTATTAAAAATATAAGTCAGTAATATTTCATTCCGCTCAAATGATGGAATAAAAGAACAATTTGGCTGATGATTAAAAGTTAACAAAATGAAAAAAATCACATTCCTTAAAAAATGTTTCATATCATTCCATCAAAGAATATAATCATATCTTTTTCATTCCAATGAAATGAACCATTCGTTTTATTGATGCATCCATAAGTTTTGATTTGTTTGATTAAACGTTCAATTACTATTTGAAGCAATGAGGGAAAGTCTAATCCTAGGTGGCTAGGCCCTAATTGATTGTGATATGATAACCAAGATAGTAAATTTAAAATACAGATAAAGATAACAAAACCCAATTATTTATCGTATAAGATACTGAAAATTATAGTCTATGTTTATGATAGAAGACCGACATCGACATGTATGTTGATTTTCACATTTACGTTCCTTTATACAAACTGAATAGAATTACTGATCATTGAATTTTTGAATTTGCTATTACACACAGTGGCATGGGTTCAATTGGAGGAAAGCTAAATGGGCCTATGGCATGCTAATTGGGCTTGGCCAGAAACAGCTTCACAATCACAGAAAATCAGGAATGGTTAAAATTTATGGTTGTTCGACTTCGTTCCTCTCCTCCTTAATTACTGCTTCTGCAACTAACTATTTGGTATAGTTTTTCTGAAAGAAATTAGCAGTATTATAACTCAATTTTACATTTTTAGTGCATATTTAGCAGTATGATCATCGATCATATATAATACCAATGGCAAGAAACTATAAAAGTAAAGAATTTAGCAATTTGCCAATATGAGGTTTAGTTCATATATAATTAAGATCACAAACAGATTGAAAAATTATGATAATCCAAATTTATAAACTGGGCTGATAATAACATCTATTCCACCGTTTTAACCAATTAAATTATTCCAAGAAGAAAATAAGCAACAACTACTTATAAAAACTCATAAACGAAAGGAAAATAATCATTGAAATCCTAATTATGATCAAAATTAATTAAAGCTGAATCTAACTTTCAAAAGCCCACGCATATTCAGAACGACTGGCTTGTTCTTCCTCAGGTGTAAAATCATTCTTGATGTTGAATATCTCTCGAACCTCCTCGACAGATTTGTCCTTGATCATGTCTGCTATCTTTTGACAAACGATATCCAACGTCTCCTTCTTGATGTCGAGAGAGTAAGCAGCGTTCGCTAGTTCCAAAAGCGTCGAAATCTCTTGATCTTCAACAAACTTTTTCTGATCATTCTCATCCTGTTTACTCAGGGATTCAACCATGTTTTTTACGGTCATTGATTTGATTTCAACATCCTTTTCCAAATCAACCTCGTTTTCGATTGTGGAGTCGGGCTTTTGATTTAACGTCAGTGTAAGCATCGTCTCCGTCAAAGTAGTCGTCTCTGACATAGTAAATGTGTTTTGATTGTGAATGGTGATTGGAATATAATTTAGTGTTTGATTTATGGAGAAAATAAGAATTGGAATGCGGCACAAGGGTTTATTGGGTTATTTATAGGAGTAGATGAGAAATACAAGGGGAGCCTAATTCTAAATGAAATAAAAATGAAAAAAATTTATCATAATAGCTATTTAATTAATTTTTTTTTTATCAAAATTGATACAAGCCTGGAAGGCGATGCATCGAATTCCAACCCAGGTGTGATTGGTTGTGAGTGAATGCGAACGACCGCAAGATGTTGCAGTCGCTTGTGATCGGTGCCGTTGGTTGCGTTCCTCAGAATGTGATGCGATGTGATTCTTGGAATGTGATGCGATATGATTCTCGGAATGTGATGCGATGCGATTCTCGGAATACTTTTGGATGTGAACAACCTCGGAAGACAGTGGACTCTTGTGCACTCGATTCTGAACAAAGCGTGCTTATTGTTGGATACGAAAGTTACTTGTTAGGATCAATGATACATGGGATTTGCATGGTAACTTACATGGACTAAGGGTGGGAGTTTCTATTTACTGGGTGCGCCTATTTAGCCGTAATTTTAGCTTCCAATAAGCATCTAGAGGTTGTTTCTTTAGTAGGAAGTTTCTTTTAGTGGGTAGTTTTCTGTAACCGTTATTTTTGTTAGGATTGAAATAGTCATTTTATTCTGTCATTTGTAATCAGTTATCCCATAAATTCAATCAAAGAACTTTGTGTTCATCGAGTTGTTGTTGCACTCAAAACCATCAATTGAAGGAGGCTTTCCTGACTTTGATAGAACTCAAACCAATAGGTTTTTGTTTGTTTTCACCGATATTCAATCTATAGGTCTAGATTATCTATCAAATCTATCCCATTATTTCTTGTTTTCACTGCAATCTCAGAAAACCCAAAAACCAACACCCCATACACACATCATAAGTGGTATCAGAGCTCAATTAAAGTTCAAATGGATTGGGAAGACACTGATTTTCTACGTAACCTCCATGAAGCCCTAAGAAACATTGTTGAAGATCCAAATCGAAGGCATCCCAAACGTGAATTGCACTGCGTGGAGGACATCAAAATTACTGGATTGCCTGAATTTGTGGGTGGAACCGATCCATAAAGGTATTCAGATTGGGAATGGAAGATTGAAAGAATGTTCGAGTTCAAGGAGTTAGATGATGAGAAGTATTGCAAATACGCAATTCTGAAGTTGAGTGGGGAGGGGGGGAGTTTCACTCTGGTTTGAAGGGTTGAAGGCCAAGAGAACCCGTGAAGGAAAAGAGAAAATCTCTTCTTGGGAGTCCTTGAAGCGTAAACTCCGGAAGAGGTATGTTCCAACCAACTATATGATCATCACCTATAGGAGGATGGTTGAATATAAGGAAGGAAAGATGAGTGTGGGAGAATACATTGATGAGTTTGAGAAACTGTCGTTATTGGGTGATATTGAGGAGATAGAAGAACAAAAGATGGCACGATTTCTACGTGGCCTGAATTACAACATCTCCAATATGGTAGACCTTTATCCCTACTCTGATTTTGAAACATTGTGTAGTATTTGTTTGAAGTTGGAAGCCAAAGCAAAGACAATGTTTTTGATGGAGCTCTAGTTTGGAATCTGCCAAACCCAATCCTTGGGTTAAGTCCGAAACTAGCATGAAGGCGACCACCACAATTGTTCCTACTGTTGCGAGTAGTTCCACATCAATCTCGAAGGTGACCAGTACGAACAAGGAAACCAGCTTGTCCAAGGTTCGTTGTGTCAAATGTTAAGGTTTTGGGCATTATCAAAATGTTTGTCCAAATAGGAGGGTGGTCACATTAAGGGAGGTTGTTGAGATCCGTGATGAGTTGTTTGAGGAAGAAGAGAGGTTAGGGGATACGTTCGTAACTAGAGAAGTTGGTGAAGTCGAAGAGGAAGAGGAGAAGTATGAAGCACCGATTTATGACACGACTTTGGTACTTAGAATTTTACAAGCCCAAGTAGTGCATGTTGATTCTGATCAAAGATACCAAATCTTTCATACAAAATGCCATGTGAAGGACAAGTGGTGTAGTTTGATTATTGATGGTGGAAGTTGTACCAAAGCTGATTCTAACGAGATGGTTACAGAATTGGGCTTAGCCACAATAACCTATCCTAAGCCATATGCACTTCATTGGTCAAACTCATATTTTTAAACACTAAGCGCACATTTAAATAAGATATTTGATTTCAACAAATTTGATTCAAACAAAATATAATTACATTAAAATCTTCATCTCACCTAAATCAACTAAACCCTAATAAAAACCTACTCCATAAAACTAAAACGAAAAACAATATAGAAAAACATCACTTTGTATAGTCCAATTCTAAATACCAAAATTAACTAACGATAGTAAATAGCAAAACTAGTTACATGGCAAAGAAACTAAGATATTCAGTAAATCATAAACTAATGAAATATGATAAAAAGATGACTTGTCAATGTAGTCTTTGTTTATTTCTTCTCCAAACGTAAGGGAGCTCCTTCTGCCGTAGGGTTTCTTTTCATAGGCTCCCCTTGATGCTCACGTAAATAACAATTTATATAGAGCATTATTACACAATTGAACCTCCAACATTCAGTCTTGTGCAACTTTACCCCTTAACTTTAAACTTTTAGCATTGTACAACTTTAGTTATTGATCTTTCAACTATAATTCAAATTTATTTTTAGCTTTTGTTTTTCTAACAGCAAACTAACGTCAACTGTCACGTCGATTATAAACTGGAAAACGGCCGAATTTGAGAAAACTCAAAACACGAAACTTGTATAATTATGTCTAGAATCCAGAACATCTTGAATCGCCTAAATCGTAGTCTTGAGGAGCCGGATATGATGAAAACATTGAGACATGGTCAATCTGTCAAACATATTTCTTTTGCCTTTAATTCAACGTGATGAATTTATCTTCTTTCAAATCCGTCAATTCCATGTCGAATACATTTGGACATTATAATATGAGTCCAACTCCCACCAAGACTCGTAGAATAAGTGGTGGGTCCTAAGAAGCGTAGACAATCTTGTATTCACAAGATAAAATCCATCAATTACTTTTAGATTTTTGAACTTCATAAGAAAAATTCCAACTCCCACCAAAACCCGTAGACTATACGGTGGGAACCTGTGAGACACAGGTTGCACTTGCAATAACAAGTCAAATAAATATCGTCAATTCCGATGAGAAGCACGATGTGCTATATTTTAGATTTTGTGTAAGAAAAAACCAACTCCCACCAACCTATAGAATAGGTGGAGGGGAACTCAAGAAACTCGAGTTGCACTTGTGATGACAAGCGGTAAAGAAGTCGTCAATTCATATAAGAAGCACGTGGTGCTATATTTTGGATTTCTTGCAAAGAAAACAACTCCCACAAACCTATAGAATAGGCGGTGAGGACCTAAGAAGCTTAGGTGAACTTGTAAAAACAAGTTAATGAGCCGTCAATTCCATTAAGAACTTTGGACTTCATAAAAGGAAGTCTAACCCCCATCATCCTATAGAATAAGTGACGAGGAACCCATGCAAGACAGGTCAAAAACTCAACTGAATGGGAAGAAATAAACCAATCGGGAAATATTGGGTCTATTACACTCATTAACGTAAATTTATCTTTTTAAGCTCAAAAAATGATGTAAACTGTAAAATTCGGGGACAAAAATAAGCTTGTTAATTAATTTAGTGTTCGAAAAACGAGCACTAAACATATTCCAATATGTGTTTCCAACTGAATTACCATCACGTTTACCTCCAATCCATGGTATTGAACATAAATTTGATCTTATTCCAGGTGCAACTTTGCCTAACAAGGCTGCTTACCATTGCAATCCAGAGGAGACCAAGGAGTTGCGAAGACAGGTTGATGAACTTATGAGCAAAGGTTATGTTCGTGAAAGCCTAAGTCCATGTGTTGTGCTAGTTTTGCGTGTACTCAAGAAGGATGGAACATGGCAAATATGTGTTGATAGTATGGATGTGAACAACATTACCATAAAACATTGATTTCTAATTCCAAGGCTAAGGATGATATGTTGGATGGTCATCATGGATCAGTAGTGATCTTCAAAATTGATTTGCGAAGTGGCTATCATCAAATCAGAATGTGAGAAGGTGATGAGTGGAAAAAAACTTTCAAGACTAAGAAAGGATTGTATGAGTGGACCGTAATGCCCTTCGGACTCACTAATGCTCCTAGCACATTTATGAGACTGATGAATGAAGTGTTGAAGTCGTTTTTGGGAAGGTTCTTTGTAGTTTATTTGGACGATATATTGGTGTATAACAGGATCAATGAGGAACATTTGGTGCATTTGAAGCAAGTTTTTGAGATCCTTAGAACTCCAAAACTCTATGGGAAGCTAGAAAAGTGTTCGTTTATGGTGGATAACGTGTTATTCTTAGGATATGTTGTGTCGAAGGATGGTGTGTCAGTTGATCAGACCAAGATTGAAGCAATAAACTCTTGGCCTACTCCTACCAACATTTATGAAGTTAGATCCTTCCATGGTCGTGCTTCATTTTATAGGAGGTTCATCTGTGATTTTAGTACCATCACAATTACAATCACAAGCTGTTTAAAGAAATGAGCTTTTGTATGGGGGGAATGTCACACCCCCAAACCAGGACGGCGGAAACGTCCGGGGTAGGATGACGTCACTGTACAGTATCATAACAATTGAATATGAATGAAACATAGCATTCCAAGCGACATACATTGAAAATACACATTTACATAGTTTACATTTTGTATTTGTTCATCAGTTACACAAAAATGACAATAAGTAAAATTTCATGAAGTCGCACCCCTTGATCTCATAGCAGAGTTGATTACCTGTTACTGGTTCCCTGAGAATACAAGTCATTTTGAAAAGCGTCAACTAAAAAGTTGGTGAGTTAATAAGCATTTTTGTATAAAAATGGATTTTGCACTTGTTTAGAATAGTTCTCGTAG